CCCTGGGCCGCCGGCCACCCCCGGGGCTCTCGCCGCGCTATCCATTTTGAGACAGCCCGCCGGCCTCCGGCTCCGCACCGCGCCGCGCGCGAGTCCCCAGCGGGAGTGATTTGGAGAAGGGAGGAGCAGGGCAGGCCGGGGAGGAGAGCGAATGCAGATTAGCAATTGCACTAATCCACCTTCGCAGCCCGTTTCTAAAAGCAGCCTTCATCCTCGGCGCCGAGCGGAGTCACGCCAGCGCGCTCGGCTGCAGGACCAGCCAAGGGCAAGGACGCAGGGAGGGGAGAGAAATGAAGGAGGGGGGGAAAAAAGAGATGGAAAGACCCGTTTCTAAAAGCAGCCTTCATCCTCGGCGCCGAGCGGAGTCACGCCAGCGCGCTCGGCTGCAGGACCAGCCAAGGGCAAGGACGCAGGGAGGAGAGAGAAATGAAGGAGGGGGGAAAAAAAGAGATGGAAAGAGGCAGCAAAAATGCTTAGGGAGATGGAGCCCCGTGCCAGAAACAGCCCCTAGAAACACAAGCAGAGTATCTAGGGCAGAGGATAGGATTTCATTTCTTCCGGAGAGGAGAGCAAGAGCAAACACAGCCTGTCCTGCGAGGGACCGTCTCCTTGGCCCCAGTAGCTTTTTTAATGCAGAGCTTAAAAGTAATCATGCCGTGGGGAAAGAGCGGGGCTAGCGCGGGGCCACGGGGCTGTCCATGCACTGACTGCATTGATTTTCCTGCCAAATTAGCTCCCTGCCACCCCCACAAGCACAAACACGCAGCAGACATGCAGCATCCTGTCCCGCGTTGGGGGGGCTGCAGCAAGGCGCCTGCAGCACCTGCGGGAACCAGCTCCCCCAAACCTGCGGCTCCTCCCCGTGGCCGGGGCTCTCAGCTGGGCGAGGGTTGTGCATTTTGTAGGAATTTCCTCTCTTTCCCATCTCTGCCTCCTGATGGATCTCCCCGAAACTGCAGAGGGAGTCCGAAAGCTGTGGGGACACACACGCCCCGACGGGGAAGCGCCTGAGCCTCCTTTCTTTGCAGCAGCAGGCTAAAGAGCCAGTGACGGCTAGCGGGGAGACAGGGCACTGGATTTGTTACTTCTATTTTCTAAAAGAAACTCAACCAAGAAGTAGTGATGGCTGCAGTGCAGAAGAAAGCGCTGCTGGATGCACGAGGTGCTCCGGCAGGTCCTTTGGCAGCAGAGGACCTTTCCTTGGCTGGAGAAGCAGCATCCACCTGCCCCTCGGTCCGGGCCACCCAGGCTGGGACCGGGCAGAGGGGTCGGGATGGAGGCGTGGGAGCCCTCTGCTTCGCCCCACCGCCCCAAAGCAGTCCTCATGCAGGACCACGTTGCCTCTCCCACTTTCCCCACTTGGGCATTTTCATCAGCAAAGCTGGGAGGAGAAACACTACGCCGTGCCTTTCTTTCCCCCTCTCTAAGTTAGTCTCTATCAGATGCAAACACGCTACTTGGGGTAATCAGCAGGCTGAAAATGATCCACCAAAACCTGACTGAGCACTGACATCTAGCAAATACACGAACAAGGCTGGTTTGCTCCATCCACCGCTGCCCCTGCTGCGGTACCCCAGCCCCAAACCTCGCCAGGAGCGGAGCCTTCGAGGCCACGGTGACAACAAATCACTGCAGCGGCTCCCGGGAAAGCTAACCTCACGCTGAAGGTTCACCGCTCTCCCCAAGCTCCACGTTTTCTGCCATCAAGCTCTGAGAAAAAAACAGTCACACCTGCTGCAACAGGGGCAGAGCTGAGGGCGCACTGGGGAGCAGCCAGGCTTTTGCTTAAGTTACAGAGGCTCGGATTAGGAAAGGTCGCTTGCAGCGCCACGGGCCACAGCAAAGAAAAACAGCGTCTGGAGCTGCAGCGAGTCGAGAGCCGGCTGCGGCGGGGAAGCTGGCTGGGTCGTTTTAATACGCAGCTCATTTGTCATCACCCTCTCATTAGGCAGTGGGGAAGCACGGGGCTGAGGAAACCACTGCGGGGTGGTGCCGAGCGGGAGCCG